AGTGCTGGGATTACAGGCTTGAGCCACCGCGCCCGGCCTACATTCTTTATTCATTTGAAATGACTGGCCAAATCATGTTACTATTTTGGGGGCTAGAGAAGAATGTGGAACTACACTTCACTTTGTTTTGGGAAAAGCAAATATGTTCTCTCACCCAAAGGCCAGAACCTGACCTTTGATGTGGGGCTTAGAAAGGTAGGACAAAGGAAGAGGGCTCCTGTAACCAACAAAAGTCCCAGGTTTCTATCTAGTATTCTACTATTGTTGCCTAAGGTTTGATTCCTATTAAAATACAAATACGGTAGCTATGTCCATCAAGAGGGGACTGATAAAATAATAGTTATATGGATACCACAGTCCACTCCATAGCAATTAAACAAAAATGTTATGATCTACATTTAGTAAAGAAGTAATTCATAGAGAATGATTTCTTAAAATATGTGCATGTGCATGTACATGTAATAGTTACTCATATGTAAATAGCGATTTTCTTTGGGTGATGACTCAGATTCTGAATGAATTTAATTTTATTCCTTATAATATTTTAATCCAATACAAATACATAAAAAGATTACCAAAAGCAAAAAGAATTTATGTCAAGGGTTAGAGAAAATATGAAAGACTCTATAAAGAAGTAACTAAGTCGGTGTTTTTAACATATTTGGGCTCATGGACACCCCTGAAAGGTTAATGAAATCTATGAAAACCTTTCTGCAGAACAAAGTACAAGAGTAAATACACGCAAACTTTGCATATCATTTTATGGGATTCACTGACCCACTGACCCCAGGTTAAGACCCCAATTCACACCATTATTTGTTATCTCCATTTGGCATGTTGCTGAAAACAAGAGATACATGAAAGAACTGTGGAGTGACCATACCAACAAGGGGGCAGGGCAATTAGGATAGTGAAGATAAAGCTGGCCTAGGTCATAATACATTTTAACAGTTGTCCTTTTTCATAAATGACCGTGAGCCACTTCTGGACTGATGCTAAGTCTCTACAACCAAAACAGCACTAGGTATTACAAACCAAAACCCCAACATCATCAGTAGGTTCTTGGAAACTGCTGCTTTAAGTGAAATGATATATAATGAAACCAATTTTACATAGGCTAATATAAACAAGAGTTAAGCTCCTACAGCAAATAATATTTCTGGTCACATAAATATCAACAAACTTCTAAATAAAGACCAAAACACTCCTAATATTAAACACTGAAATAAATGTGAGCTATACATATATTTACAGAAGATTAATAAAAACAAGTAAGATAATTCTTTACCAAATTGTTGGTGACTCAGTAAATGATGGCAGTCATTGGGGCGGTAGATTAAAACAAAGAATAAATGTTTGCAAAGTAAAAAATATAAGGAGTACCTCCTACTGCCATGCAATTCAAAACCAATCACAGATATAGTGGACCCACTGAGCACTTTCATGCCACATCGTTTATTGTCATGCATTTGTAGGATCACTGTAGACCTTACAAATTTTTATTTTACAATAATTTGCATTTTGTCATTCATTTCTTTTCCAACCTGCTTATTACAGTTCAGGATCAAGGGTGGCCAGAACCCATCCCAGCAGCTCAGTTGATAAGGCAGGAAGGAACCACACCTGGACAGGACACCATCTCATGGCAGGGTGCACTCATAATCAATGCCCACAGTCACTCAGACTGGGACCAATTAACCTCATGTGCACATCCTTGGAATGTGGGAGCAAACCACAGCATCCAGAGAAAACCCATGCTGGCATAGGGAGAAAGTACAAACTCCACAGACAGCAGCCCCAGCCAGGAACTGATTTTTTGCTCAACTACATTATAACAAAAAGACATTGAACAAAACATTATTCAAGGACATGCTATATTGTGTCTTCTACAACCTAGTTATTAAAGCAGTTTCAACAATTAAATTAGATCACCAAAAGCTTTAAAATGACTTTCCTAATAGCCAATTCATTCACATGGTATAAAAACAACCCAAATCTCCTAAAGCCAGGATAATTACATAATGCAACATTTTTAGAAGTTGAACTGAACAATAACTTCTTTAATTGAAACCCCAGTGGGGGATC